TTGCTCAGAATTGGAAGTCCTGAGTCCGGCCCAGAGGTCCAGTCTCATATTTCTTCAATTCCTCAGTTCCATGGCTCTCAGGACCCTCTAATATAGAATATTTTGAGTGTATAACTTTATTCATGAGCTCGGCGGACATATTTCTGGCCTAATTACCAGGGTGCACCCTTAGCAATGGAGGCTCGTTTGGTCGGAACTGAGCTTCACTAGTTCACAAACAACTACAAATTAAATGCACACATTAAAGTCATATCACTACCAGCAAATTCAACGCTCCCGAACATTATGGATCTTTTCAACCGATAAGGGGGTGCTTTTGCTTGAGGCAGATAGCTGACCACATTCAAACTCGAGCAATTTTGCTTCAAAAGTGTTCCGATGTCGAATTCGCTTTGCATTGCATTGTCTAAACGTATGAACTGGCCCTAAAGCCAGTGACGTGGACATTCGGCATGTTAACCGACTGTCCCGCGTTTTATGCGAACATTTTGGACTCTTGGACGCCATTTGGTTTTAACGGAACTATTTCTTTGATTGACGTCACAAATCGTCTGTTCCCCGGTTGTCTGTAACTTGACACCTTGAGTGCAGTCGGCTTTTGTTATGACTATAATCTAAACCTTTCTGTCAAGAGAGGGTGTGTCGAATACTCACGACAACCAGGCGCTGTGTCGGGGCACATCACAGACGGTACAAAGAGATTTGATGAACCCGTATCAAAATCCACCAGGAACGGCTGAGGTGGTGTGCCAATGCTGATTGGACCGTAATAGATCAGCTGGGTAAAGATACCAAGATCACTCAGATTTTGTTTTTTCCCTCTGTTATTGCAGTAAAGAGTTTATGGATATAAAAACTAAAATTAACGTAACAGAACAAAAAAAATAAAACTAACTTAAACGCACGAACCCAACAATAAAAAAAGCTTACATCTTGGTCATTTCTAAGTTGTTCTGGCCCTCTTTTTATGGAGTGGGAACGTCTCCTTGATGGCAACAGAGGGCGCTGCAAGCGTTTTAAAGGGATTCTGTGGAAATTTACAAGGAACGAGTAAATACACCAAACAAATCACCCTGCTGCATGCTCTCCCATACCTGGCAGGAGGCGTACTAATGACCCCTCCCGACTCATGCTTTTGTTAACGGCTTTATAAAGGGTACTGCGGTAGCGCTGTTGGAAGAGCTCAAGATTGGCACTCTGCGAGGAAATATTCCACGCCGGGGTGGGAAAAGGGTACAGTCCGTGATTGACCTCGTCCCAATTTTGTGCAAGGCATCTCAGCACGACAAGTTCGCAACATACTGAGCGTGAATCACGTAGGGGGTGGAATCTGAGACATTTCAACGGAAAATATCCTCCCGTCTTACCGTATGACACCCTCCTCAGCCTGAGCTCCGTTCGGCAGAGTCATCAGCCAGAAGCAACCCAGGAAAAATAGCGTTGTTCTCATGGTGACTGAGTGAAGTTTGTCAAGGCTCAGAACTACATGTACAACCTACCAAACCGAAACCAGGATTCAAAAATGGAAGGTTTTGGTATAGTTGACTATTTATACTTACCAAGATTTTGGACAATAATTCAGACCAAAGCTCAAGTATCATTACTTCACAATCCATGCCTTAAGAGGAAAACCAACAGCTATGGAGTATTTACTTAAGCGGGAAAGGTCTCTCACTGGGATGCTTATCTTTGCTTTAGATATAACAACGAAACGTAATTTAAAGGAAGCAGTGCTTGTGTCGTTTCAAAGTTGGGGTCAGGTGATTCTATTTTTTTCCTGAATGGGTTCCTTCTGGGTTTATTTGGAATTCTCGTGACCGGGCTCGTGACCACTATGATGAAATCACAATGATTGCACAAATTTATTTTTGGACATATATCTTCGCACTTTATATACTAAAGTATGGTCTTAAAAACTTTGTACAAATATGTACATGATTGCTGAGTTTGACGTTGGATTACTTTGTTGGGGGATAAGACTGAAATGACTCTTTCTGGCGCACCAAAAAAAACATATGCCACAAGGAGAATCAACCACGTTTTAAACTTTATTGTACTACATCGTGTTAAATCATGCTTTCAACAACACGTTGACAGTATGTCATTTTCTTTACAGCATCTGACTAGAAGAAATCCTGGTAAACAGCAATCGCAAGTCAATTTTGTGAAATGTGAGACAAAAAGTACGTTGGCAAAAGCACAAAGTATACATGAACAAACACCTACATGTGTACATGTACGTGTATATACATGTAAATGTATTATGCTTCCGGCATAGTGCACATGGGAGTGACACCCTGGACTGTCCGGTTTGAACATCTTAAAATGAAATATGACAGTTGATCAACACTGGACATTTTGATTTATGACTCAGGAATTTGCCAATGGGACACCATGGAAATTAGCCAGAGCCACAAACAAGGACAGGACCGTTGTTTTCAAAAAATCAGAATGGCTCCTTGGCCAATTCCAGCTCCGCAAATTTCAGTGGGAATGAGCGGGGAACCAGTCTCCAATGCTCCCATGAAATCTTGCAGTTTCACAAGTGGCACACGTATGGAGAACATTTCTCTTCACCGGCAGGGCCGTACACAATCATCCCATAAAATTAAATCAACTGCAAATGAAACCAAAATAATATGCCTCCATGTATTCATACTGTCCAGTCTTCCAAAAGCATATGATTTTGCCCTATCTTTAATTTGAAAAAAAAGGCTTTTTTCTCTTTTTTCTTTCTTCAGCTTGCCACTTTGAGCATGTCACATAAACTTTCAATTATTTTGGAGAGGTTTTCTCTTCCAAATGAAGCAATGAATATCCTCCAGAATTTACAACAAAGGAGATGAAGTCTGATTTTCATGCATATTAACATTTTTTTTTAACTTGGCCTATTAGTTACATAGAGTTAAAACTAATACTTAAAACTCAATTTGCTTTGGATACAGGAAATTATGTATTCAACCACTGGATTTCAAAATTACATGTACATTATTCGCAAAATGATTCACAAAATATTTCAAAAAGAAATCAATGGTACAATCCAATTAACAATACAGCTGCTAGTGAACATTTGTTATTCGGGTCATTCCATGACGTTGGGGCACAATTTGTGATGGTGTCCTTGTTACATGGGTAACTTACCACCTGTCATGACCCATAAAGTATGTGTGGGTCATTTACTCTGTAAAAATAACACACACTTCTGTATTCAGCCTTACAAGATGTATAATTTGGAATCCACATGCAGGGAAATATGGACGTCACAAACTGTGACCCAACCTCATGGAATGACCCATTCACAAAAAGTGTCTGACACGAGTTGATCACAAGTGTAAATGTTTTCCATAAAAAAAAAACACAAATAAAGCGAAACAGATTGAAATTTGTGGACGAATTAGGGCACAGCAACAAGGCTACTTTGAAGGTAAAAACGGAAAATTCCAATAATTTAGTTAATTGTTTCACGATTTCAGATTGTAAGTTTTTTTTTTTCAATGTTAACTCTTGACAGTGCCCCAAGATTTTAAACAGGTCAGGCCAATTCTGATGGGGGCATGGGCTCTAGCTTTCTGTTGTACAGTACTTTATCTACATGTATTCTTAAACCTGAAATGAATGATGGAAATGCAGCTTTCAATAGGTAACATGGTAGACCAAGCACTCTGCATGTACAATGTACATGTACATTGTAAAAATGACAAACACAACTGCATGAACTGTTTGGTGGTGATCTTTGATGTATGGATGTGAACTAGCAAACTGGAGCAAACTAAACGAAACTAAAATGAGACAGAAATTGCAATCAAGGGAATTCAGTCAGATTTTGACTGTTCTAGCTGTCGCAGGCCTTTCTCTCTCAAGCAAACCTGTTCTACGGCCAGGGTTTCCGTCGCCACTGCCTGCTCAAACTCAGTATTTGATCTGTGGACTCCTCGCTTAGAGAAGACGGTGCGCTTGTCCAGTAGGTTTCTGTTTCGATCCTCGCTGGAGGTGATTGGGGGCAAGACCGGCGGTGGGGTGGGCCTCAGTGTGTCCCGGCTGTGGTCTGTGCCTTTGGCAAGGAATGGCTGCAGGTTCATTATGTCAGTCCTAGAGTGGGTGGCCGAGTTGTGATGGTGCGGACCCGCTGAGCCTGAACGCCGCGTCCTGACTATGTACTGCGGTGTGGTCCCGGCTTCTGCCACATATGATGCATAGTCCAGCAGGCCGCTGTGGTCCAAACCGGAAGGGTGGACAGCCCGCAGGGGAACCTTGACGTTCTCCAGCCCGACAGAGGTGGAGCGGACTTTATGCCGGCGCATGTGGTGTGGCTTGTCCTTGGGCGGGGTGGGCGTGCCCGCCCACTCGTTGGCCGGCCCCACCTCCTCACCACCCCTCGACTGCTGCCGCAGCTTCAGCTGGTGCAGCTGGGTGGTGAGGTACGCAATGCTGCTGGAGCGCTGCTCCAGCTCCCGGCTTAGCATTAACACTTGCTGCTGGTGCTGCTTGATCACTGCCTGGTGATGCCTCTCCTGGTCCTTCACCTGCTGTTCCAGGCGGCTGATTCTGGTGTCGCGGTGCTCAATCTCCCTCTTCACTTCTTCACATTCGGTGGCCTTCTCTTTGAGCTGGGCCTCCAACACCTTCTGCTGCTTTACATATGATTCTGGTAGACAAAATAACGCATACATATAAAAACAGCATAAAACATCACCATACACTGCACATGTACATGTACAACAGTAAAAAAATTATAAAATGGGAAAAGTGTTGGTGGTTCTTCGATTATCTGCATTGAAAAATGACCATACCCATTGCCAAACAATAGCAATACAGGTAGGTAAACTGTCTGAGGTACATGTACAGTGTACTTGCAATTATGAACTACTGTACTTAAAAAGAAAGCACCTACACGAACAACGTCAACATTGCATAAACTACATTTGGTCAGTAAATTGTATTCAAGTAAGATCTGTGAAGCTGTCCATTCAATCTTTTAATTCTAAGGACATGCATACAAATATAAATTTTGTACAGGTATATGTAACATATGTGCAGAGTAAATGCTTTCCCATCACACTGTATACTTAATTATCGTACCACATATTTGTAACTAACGTTAAACTACA